TTCCTGTTGTCTAAGTGCCTACGCGAGCTTCAGCCCCGGAACCGGCCCGGCCCTGCTGCCCCGGCCCGTGCTGCAGGCAGACGCCCTCCGGCCGCGCGCCCGGCAGGCGGACTTTGTCACGCTGCCGTGCTTGCTTTTTGGGGTGTTTCTGTTGAGGGGGTCATGGTCTTGGTTCAGGAGCTGCTTAGCCCAGTCTAGCTACTGAGAGAAGAGGGAGCCGCCGGCCTGGGGCAGCAGCTGGGGGGGTCAGGGGCTCCCCAGAAGCCAGAGAGCCCTGCACGCACCCCCTCTTCCCAGACTTGAGGGGCCAGGGAGTCTGCGCAGAGGGCTCGGCGGGGCCTCCCTGGTGGGGCTGGAGCAAGGTCAGTGGGGGGTGTCTGTGAGAGTGCAGGTCCCTGCTGGCCCCCCTTCGGGGCGACCCCGCCCCTCGTGTCCATGGGGGTGGGGGGGGTTGGCTCGTGACCGCGGGCGTTGGTTTTGCAAAACGGAGCGATCCCTACCCAGGCACTTTATTTTCATTGATGATCCAGAGTTTCCTTCAGACCGTGTGATCGCCCGCCCCGGCCCCGGCCTCGGCCTCGCGGGGAGTCCCCCCGCCGGGCGGGTGGGGGCAAGTGCCCAGGGGCCAGGCTGGGCTCCTCTGGAGCACCCACCCCCTCCCCCTTCTCCAGACGCCCCAGGCGGGCTCCCCGCCCCCACCCCCCACCCGCGTCACTGAGATGAATGTAAGCGCCTCGGGCAGCGCCCGCCCTTCTAGCCGCGGGCCGGGCCGGAGCTGCCATCGAGGCGGCCTCGTCCCGTCTCCTCCGAGGCCGGGGCGCCCGCGCGGCGAGTCGGGCCTGCAGGGTCGGCGTGAGGGCGCGGCTGCGCGGGGTGCCCGTCTCAGCATCACCAAATACGTGCGTGTCTGCGGCGGGCGCGGGGCCCCGCCGGCCAGGCCCAGGCGCCCCCGGCCGCCGTGTGTGCGGGTCTCGCGGCTCCGCGGCGCGTCCAGTCTCGTCCCGGCCCGCACTCGTGCCCGGGAGCCGCCCCGTCTGTCTGCTGTGAGGTGTCTGGTCTACCTCAAGGGTCTCCTCGGTCACCGCCGCCCCGTAGCCGCCCGGCCTCGCCACACACTGGAATGTACGTCCGGCCGGCCCTGCCCCGCCAGGAACCTCCGCCCGCCCCCTAGAAGCACCACAGACTCCTAGTGCAAATTGGATGCTGCTTTAAATGTGAAAACAATTGTTCAAAAGCTATAAAACCCGAATGAAAGCTAAAGCTGAATTTATAAGCCTTGTTGCATATGAGCCAAAAGTGCAAAAAGCTCTATATAATGAACTAACCTGCCACTCGTATAAATATAAATATATATAAATATATTAAAATCAGACTGTTCTACAAAACCGTGTATTTGTATTTTTGTGTACGTACAATTTTCTGCTAAGCAGAAGGAGGATGTAGTGTAGGAAGCTGTGAGAAGAGACTTGATTTCCCCCCGTGTCTCTGTTGTTTCTGTCCCCACCGACGCTGTCTGTCTCTGTGCGTGTGACACTGTTCGGGCGGCCGCAGCATCGCCCTTCCCGGGCCGGCGCCCGCTCGAGCGCGGAGCTTCTGGAGCTGTCTGGGCCGCCAGCCGCGGGCCTGGGGCGGCGGGGGAGGGGGGGGACGCGGGTGGCCGGCCCCCGGCCCGCACCTTCCTCCGGGAAGTTGCCGCCTTTTTCTGATCAGGTGACAAGATGCCGGCCCGGCCCGGGCGTCTCGGAACCCACTTTCCCGGTGCTAACGCGAGCGGGTCAGGGGCGGCGGGGCGGCGGCCGGAGGCCCGCGAGGCCGAGACAGCTCCAGGCGCGCCGGGAGGGCGACGCTGCACCGCGGGGGCGGCGGGCGAGGCGCGGCCCTGTGTGGCGTCGGGTAGTCGCGGAGTCGGTGTCGTGTCTCCTATTCTGATTAGTGCCTTTGGACAGTAGACTGTTCTGTAACAAAGTGTAGGATACCGCTTTTTTGTACAGTTTTGTTTTAATAAAACTTTTTTTTAATTTGTGTTTATTTTAGTATTGTACCTACTAGAGAATAAAACGTATAACTCGACAAAGGCTGCGCGTTTCTTTGGCTTCGGCCCCGGCGGGCGGGCGGGCGGGCGGGCGCGGGTGGGCGGCGCCCCGGGCCCTGCGGAGGCCTCGGGGCCGCCTGGGCCCGCGTGACGTCCACTGAGAAAGCGCCCCCCGCCCCCCAGCCGCGGGCGAGGGGGCGTCACGGGAGGGGGGGCCTTCGGGGGCGCCCGAGGACCTGCAGGCGGGGCGCCCGGCGGGGACGCGGAATGGCCGCCCCTGGGCGTCACGTCCGGGTGAAGCAGGAACGGGGCTGAGCTGACGAAGCAGAGTCACGGCAAACCCGGGCCCGGCGGCCGGGGGGGGGCGGGGGGGGGTCAGGGCACCAACACGGCGCGTTCACGCCTCTCGCTTTGAAAAGAAACCGGACGCCCAGGAGCCCCGACCCCCCCCCCCCCCCCCGCCCGGCCCCCTGAGCTCTGGGCCGCCTTCCCGGGAGCCGCAGGCGCCGGGGCAGGGCCGGGGCGTCCGGTGCTCCCGAGACACACGGGCCGTCACCAGCCGGGCCCCCGCGGGCCGCGCGAGAGGGGCCGCCCCGGGCACAGCGCGGGCCAAGATGGCGCCCCGCTCGGCCCTGCGTGCCCCGACACCACCCTCACCTCGTGTCCGGGCCCCAAGGCGCTCTCTGCTGGGCAGTGCAGGGAGACGCGCATGGCCAGGGCGGGCCAGGAAGCGAGCGCGGCCACCGCGGCACACAGGCCTCCGGGCCCCGGGCGCCCTGGGCCCCCCACCTCTTCACACTGGGCCCCACACGGCGCCCTGGGCCCCCCACCTCTTCACACAGGCCTCCCGGGCGCCCTGGGCCCCCCACCTCTTCACACAGGCCCCCCAGGGCGCCCTGGGCCCCCCACCTCTTCACACAGGCCTCCGGGCCCCGGGGCGCCCTGGGCCCCCCACCGCGGCACACAGGCCTCTCGGGGTCGCAGGCGCGGCCCTGGGAGCGCCCCCAAGCCGCCCCGGGAGCAGCGCCCCGCAGGCCCGTTCCCGCCGCCCGCCGGGCACTTGTCCCGGCCAAGGCCCGGGTGTGAGGAGCCCGAGCAAGGCCCAGAGGCGCGCGGAGGGGCCCCCACAGCTGCGCCCCCCGCGAGCCCACTGGACGCCGGCCGAGGCCCGGCGAGGCCCGCAGAGTCCGGCTCCCTCAGACGCTGGGCGCCCGGGGCCCGCCCGCCACAGACGTCTGCCCCGCAGCTGAGGGGATCGCGGGGGGCCAGGGGGCCGGGGCTGAGGGTGGGACGTTCCCACAGCCAGAGCCCCGATTTCCTTGCGCCGCGGGCTCCCGGCGGGCGGGCTCCAGGAAGGGGCGCAAGGCCCGGGACTCGCGGGGCCCCCAGTTCTGCCGCGCACACCCCGGCCGGGCGGGAAAGCAAGAGCCGGCGCGGGCGGGCGGAGAGCGGCTTTATTGAGGCGCCGGGTGCGCGGGAGGCGGCGGGCTCGCCCGGGCTCCTCGGGCGCCCTCTTCACGTGCGTGAACGAAGATGCTCCCCACGGGGACCCCTTCTTACGGGCGAACCCCACGCCCAGGCCTCCCCGCAGGCGCAGAGGCCGCAGTGCGGACCCGGGTCCGGGGGGGGGGGCCTGTGGGCGCCGGCAGCGGGGCTCCCGGGGGCTCCCCGCGGCGTCGAGCGGGGTGGGGGGGTGGGGGGGGAGACAGTGGGGCGCAGGCAGAGGCCCGCGGAGCCCCGGGCCCGGCCGCACCCAAGGGTCCGGCTAATGCGGCTCCCGCCCCGCGGGCCGGCCGGGCACGGGGCGCGGCGTCGCCAGGAGCCCCGGAGGGCCCCGCCCGGGCGGACCCCCCGCGCCGCCAGGGGCTCTCGGGTGACCCCGCGCCCCGCGGGCCGGCCCCTCCCGCCCAGGGCCGCCGGCCTGGCCGCCCCCCTCCAGCCCGGGGGCAGCGCCGCGCCCGCCCAGGCCCGGTCCCCGCTCCACAGGCTGCAGGGCCGGGGACACGCGCGCGCCCCGCGGGGCCCTTCCCCGGGCGGACGGGCTTCTGCCCCGGCGGGCCGCCCAGGGGCTCGGGCCCGGAGCTGCAACGAGCCCAGCCCCAGGGGCAACCGGGCAGCTGAGCCCCGAGTTGGGCAGAAAAGCGGGCGCCCCGGGCCCTCTGGAGGAGCGCGGCCCAGCGGGGCGCTGAGGACGGAAGCCCAGCGCGGCCGGGCCGCCGGGAGACAGACGGGCACCTACCTGGGCGCGAGCCGGCGCGGCGCGGGGCCCTGCGGGCCGGGGCCGGGGGCGCGGGGGCCGCCCCCCAGCGCCCACAGCCGGCAGGGGCGGGGCGGGCAGGCGGCGCCCGGGGGCGGGCTGGGCCGGGCCGCCCATGGGCAGCAGAAGGGCGCGGGCACCGTGGGGTGTCCCCAGGCGCTGCTTCCCACTGGGCCCCGGCCCCCCACAGCTCCCTGGACAGACTCCCAAGAAAGTGGGCGCTTTTCATAGTCCGGGCGCGAAGGAAACTCGCGGGCCCCGCGCCCCCGCCCCGCAGCTGTTACGAGGAGGGGCCCCCGCCCCCCCCATGCCGCCAGCCCCAGGGCCGAGCGGATCGGCGGGGGGCGAGGGGGGCGCCCCGGCCGCGGCCCCGGCGCGCGATTGTGGCTCGCGGGAGATCCCCGAATTTGAAAAAATAAATATGAATAAATACGCCCCACGCCCCTGCCGGCGGGCGCGGGGGAACACTTGGGGGTCGGCCCCCCGGGCGGGCGGGGACGTCGGGCCCGGGAGCCGCCACAGCTGGGGCCGGGCCGGGGGGCGCCCGGGCCTGTCCGCACGAGGCCCCCTCGGCCCCGCGGAGCCCGGGACACGCGTTCTCGCAGCGCCCGCCGCGGCCGGGGCCCGGGGGGCCGGGGGGCCCGGGGGGGCCGGGGGAGTCCGGGGGCGCCGGGGCGGGCGGGCGGGCGGTCGAGGTCCCGCGGCGGCGGCTCAGCTGGCCCAGGACTTGCGGTTCTCGGGGCGCCGCGGGCTGCGGTCGGCGGGGGCCAGCGCGGCGGTCAGCGAGGCCAGGCTGGAGGCCGAGCCCGACAGGGGGGCGCCCTGCGGCCGGGGAGCGGCGCCCCGCCGCCGGCCCGCGCCCCCCGCGCGCCGCACCCGGCCGGGCCGCACCAGCAGCCCGTGGCCCGGCGGGCACCTGAAGTACGTCCTCCCGCCGACCGAGCCGTCGTTCCTGCCTGGGGGAGACAGCGCGTCGGGCGGGGCCGGGCGGGCAGCCCCGACCCCGGCAGGCGCGGAGGAGGGGGGCGGGCGCGGGGGGGGGCGGGGGGGAGCGGGGGGCGCGGGGGGCAGGCGCGGGGGGGCGGGGGGAGCAGGCCTTGGGGGGCCGGGGGTGGGGGGAGCAGGCCTTGGGGGGCCGGGGGAAGGGGGGGCAGGCGCGGGGGGGGGGCCGGGGGCCGGGCAGGACCCAGTGGCCGGGCGGGGCGGAGGCCCGAGGGGCGCCCTGCCCTGTCCCCACTGCCGCCTCCCGCGAGCCCGAGGTCACCAAGGCCGTGTCCCCGCGACAGTGACCAGGACATGGTCAGAGGCAGGAGGAGGCCCAGGGCTGGGGGGCGGAGGGGTGAGGGGAGAGGGAGCACCACCCTGACCCCCAAAAGCCGGCCTCCCGGGGAGCGGGCTGGGGTGGGAGCCAAAGGCCACAGGGCGACACCCGCCGCCGCGGGCAGCAGGCCCAGGGCCCCCGGCCTGCACACAGGCGTCCCCCCCACCCCACCTCTGTGCCCAGCCTGGCCCCCGGGCTCCCTGAGGGCCTCCCGCCCCCACTCCCGCCCACTCTCCCCCACCTGGAGGCTCAGCAGCCTCCCAGTGTGTCCTGCGCCCAAGTCCAGCCTCACCCCAGGGGGCCCCCAGCCTCTCCTCCCACTGTCCTGGCCGGCTTGAGGGGGCCCGGCCCGCCCCTCCAGCCCTCGGCAGCGCCCGCCTGCTGCCCCCGCCCCAGCCCCTCCACCTCCCGCAGGCCTGTGGACCCGCGCCCGCCTCCACCTGCCCGGCCCACCCGCTCTGTCCCACAGGCCTGACTCCCACGCGTGGTCGCACCGTCACCGGGAGCGTCGCTCCCGCGGGTGCCCGAAGCCAGCGGGTGCGCTGGGCGCGCCTCAAGTCCCCGGAGTCTGGAACAGCCGCCGGCCGGGGCAGATGCTTGGTGACCTGCTGGCCGAGCTGCCGCCGCCAGCCCCACCCCTTGGATGCTCCGGCCACCGCCGACAGAAGCTCCTAACGCCCGGCATGGCCGGGGCGGGGATTTAAAAAGCACCCCAGCCTGCGCTCCGGTCATCTTCGCCAACCGCTTCGAATTTAGGACCGTCTTTGCCAAAATCATTTTTAAAGACTGACTGTGGCGGAGCGGAGGCGTCCCAGAGCTGGGAGGGGGAAGGAGGGAGGACCTGAGGTCTCGTGGGGCTCCCCCACCGGCTCCCCACTTCCCGCCAGGAGCGCTGGGCCCAGGCTCACTGTCCTCCACCAGGCTCCGGGCGACCTCCCGGGGCGGCCGCCACACGCGGCACCGCAGGGACCCTGGAGCTCGCACCCAGCAGACCCGCGTCAAGTGCAGAGACGCCGTGGCTGTGCAAGGGGGGGGGGGGGGCCTTTAAGCTTACAGCAGCTTGCAACTAGTGTTGGGCTTTCTCAGAAATTTCTGGAGGTTAAAAAAAAAGGGGAGTTAAAATTTCTGACTTTACCACGCGCAGGGCTTCTCGGGGCGTGAAAACGTCTAGTTTTGAAGCTCGGCGACGCGGAGGCTCAGAGCGGTCAGGCCGAGCGCCCGAGGCCCCCGGGGAGGACCGGCACCTCCCTGGGGCCCGGAGCTCGTCCGCCGCCTGCAGGGCCAGAAGCCTGCCCCGAGCGGCCCTCACCTGCAGGCAGGTCCAGCTCCACTCCAATCCACGTGCCCTCCTGGAAGTCGGTCGGCCCGACGTACCTCACGATGCCCGTTTTGCTGGTGCCCACGGTAACGTACTCGCCCTCCTTGAGCCACTCCGGGACCTCGCTGGCTTCTTCAGAATCCGAGGAAACGTCCAGCTTCCCCAGGGCCTGGCCCTCGGAGCAGCCGTCACCTGGCCCTGCCAAGGCCAGGGGGGCCCCCTCAGCGCCGGCGGGGCAGCTGGGGTCTCCGCCCAGCATGCGGGAGAACGACTTGAGCTCAGAGGAGGTTCGCACCTTCTGGACGCGGAAGGGAGGGGCTGAAGAGGCCGCCAGAGGCAGGGGGTCTGGGGGCCGCTGTGCTTTGCTGGCGTCTGGCTCGCAGCTGCCGGCCAGCGGCGCCTGGTCCTTGGGCCGGCCGAGCTGCTGGGCGGCGGGGGACACGTGGCCCCCGTTCTGCTGACTGGGGGGCTCCTGGGAGGCAGCGGGGGGTCGGGGAAGAGTCGGGGAAGCGCCTGCCAGGTCCCGGTCCTGCCTCTCCGAGGAAACGTCCCTGGCCTCGGGCGCGCCGTGGCCGCCACCGCGAGCAGCTGGCCGAGGCAGCGCAGGCAGCTGGGCGGCAGGGCCCGCGTCGGCGCAGGAGGCAGCGGGCGGAGGCGGGAGCTCGGCCTCGGGGGTGACCAGGTAGAGGGCCGGAGGGGGCGAGCCTGGAGTCTGGGCCGCGGCGTCCAGGCCGGGAGCGGAGGCGTCTGACAGGGTGGCGGTGGACACGCTGTGGGAGAAGTACCCGCTGGAGGCCTCGCTCAGCGGGCTGGGAGGCCCGTCCGGACCGTCCGGAGTCTGCGAGGTGGTGGCCACAGGTAGCTGGAAAGGCCCCTTGGCTGGTCTGTCATGCACCCTCGTCCCAGGGGTGGTCTGCGCAGTCACCTCCGGGCCCCCCGCCGTCCCCGCGCGCGTCCCGGGAGCCTGCAGCGAGACGGGGAGACACGGGTCAGAGCTCGCCGCGAGGGGCGCGTTCCCAAGCAGCGGGCGGGTCTGGGTGGCAGCTGCGGCACACGGCGGCCACAGTGAGGAGGACGGGCCCCCACACGACCAACTCGGGCGCCAGACGCTGGGGTCACCGCACCTCAAACGCACTGGCTGCACCTCAAACAGGCACTGGCTGCACCCTGCTGAGAGGCGGGCGAGACCTTTCATGCCAACAGCCGTTTCAGAGGCCGCTGTGGTGCCGTGAGCGACAGTGAGGATCCTGTGGCCTCATCCCGTTCCTGGCACACGGCGCACAAAACCCCGGTACCCTCCTCCGGGACAAGAGCCACGGGGCGTCCTGAGCAGTCGCAGGGCGCGGTGGGCACCAGAGGTGATGAAATGGGGCAGTTTGTGACCGTGAGCGAGGGCTGGGGCTTCCCATCCCAGCCTCGACCTCCAGAAGGAACAGGCAGGACACACTCAGAGCCTGACCACCAGCGACTTGATCACTCATGTCTGTTAACGAAGCCCCACGTCACCCCAACGGAGGGGGCCTGGAAGCTTCCGGTGGGTGACCACATGGAGATTTGGGGAGCCCGGAAGCTCCGAGGCCCTTCCATCCCTGACGTGGGACTGCTTGTCCTGCTGGAGGCAGGGGGACGGGGTTGGGGGGGTGCGGGGGGGGGCAGAGGCTGCTGCTGGAGGTGGGGCGGGCAGGGTCGGGGCCTGGCCCCAGGGGCACCGGCCAGGAGGCAGCCAGCCCCAGGGAGGAGCCGGGGTGGGAGCTGCCGGCTGTTTCGGCTCCCACGTCACTGCGTCTGAGTCACCCCGGCGGACACACGGCCCCCTCTCGCGGGGGTGACGGCAGCAACGCCGTCCAAAGCCACCGTCCCGGGGACCCGCGGGGGGTCCTCCCTTGAGAGCCCCCGTCCGCCGGAGAACGTGGCAGATCTGTCTGTTTCGCTTCCGGAGGACGGGGGGAGGCGTGGCGAGGACGGGAGGCGGCCTGGGGACCGCGCACGGGCGCCGGTCACAGAAAGAAATATGCTTTCCAATATTTACGGAAAGATTATTTATATTCCAGGAATGGCCGTTTTCCATTTGAAATACAGGATTTATTTGAACTGGGAAACAGCCGAGATCTATAAGTCTCTTACAGTTACTTGGCTTAACTCCGCAGTGTGATAAATCACGCATTTTCACGTGCACTGTCATCTATGCCCCTGTCTCGGGGGGCCCTCCCTCGCCACAGGCACACTTCCAGGGTACGGCATGAACGGCACCTCTTGAGATTAACGGCCCACTTTTGTGATGGATCTCTAGGCTGCAAAATTTGCGAAATCCAATAGATCAATAACTGTCACTGGCATAAATACTCTAAAAGATTAGGCAACCCTTCAATCATTTGTCTTTTGCAGCGTGCACGTGGTTTATTTATTCTTCTCTACTTTATCTCCACCAGCACTGGCCGAGTGGGGAAGAAAACAAACACAAGCCCAAGCACATCTGAACAACAGCCACGGCCCTGCCAGACATGGGGCGTGGCCCGGCCCCTCTGGGCGCGTCCCCCGTGGCCAGATGGCAGCTGCCGCCAAGGGCCCATGCGGCCAGGCCCCGCCGCGCCTCCATTCCAGTGCCGCACCCGCGGGCTTTCACCACATGGCCCAGCAGCGGGCTGCTGAAGGCCTCACCTCAGCCGGGGGCCTGCGAAGCCAGGGGCCAGCCAGGGCACGGGGCGAGGGAGAGCCCGAGCGGCAGTGGCTGCGGCCTCCCTCTGGGCCAGCGCCAGGCAGCGCCTCCCCAAGCCCCGCGGCGGCCGCCCGGACTCAGCTGCAGGCATGCGGGACACGGCGTCCGGGAGCAGAGCCCTGGTTGCCACGCTCAGCTCACACCCTGACCACTGACATTTCCAGAGACTTCCACGAGGGCCCCGACTGAGCGAGGCCCAGCCCGGAGCAGTGCGCCCCCCGGGCAGGCCCTCCGCGGGGCTGGCGTGGGGTGTCCCACTGGCCTGGGCCCCAGCTGCCTCGGGGGGCTGCCGTGAACACCCCACAGGAAGGAGAAGGGGGACTTCACGGAAGTCTGAACCGTCTTCCAGACTATTTGGCCTTTTGGGGGCTGTTGTTTTCATAAATACCATCTCCCCAGGAAGACGTGGCGGCGTCTCCTGAGAGAATGAAGGCGCCGTGGGAGAAAATAGATTTGCTATTCATAAGATCAGAAGTGCTGTTGATCTGTGGGAGATCATGAGAGACTATTTTCTCCCCAGCCTAGCATTAGTCTTTTCACGCTGATATCATGAATCAGAATGAAATGTAAAACTGAGAATTAAGCAAACACTCAGAATAAGGAGATTGTTCTGTTTATAGAAATCGCCCTTGCCGAGCAGCGGGCGATTACAGCAGCGACGGCATTAGCAGCCGAGCACCTAAGCGTTCAGCAATCATACGATTAACAAGTTGGAAATAGCCAAGTGCAACAAGGAAAACAGGGAGAGACGGTGACCCACATTGCAGTTAATTATCCACACGGGGAGGCTAAAATAAAAAGCCGAGGGTGTGGGTGCGCCAAGTATAGCCCGGGCCACCCCGATGTGGGGCAGCCGCGGCAGGCGCCCTGCTCGCAGCGACTCACCTCCGCCATCCTTGTCGCCCCCACATCCGGGAGGGCCGGCTGCACCGTGATCCGGGGCACGGGCTGAGGAGACAAGCGAACGGGGGGTGTGAGGGACGGGCCAGAACAGACCCCAGAGCTCCGCACCGACCGGCACGGAGCTGGGGGCCCCGGGAGGTGAGCCCGGGGAGGCTGCGCTGGGTGTCCCTGCCCGGCGGCCTCGAATCCACCTTCGCTCCAAGTCACTGCGTGTCACCTGACGAGGGAAAGCCCGAAACACTCAGGGCCCGGCCGGCCGTGTGTGCGGGGGGCGCCTCGTCCTGCGGAGCAGGCTCCCACGGCCTCCTGGTCCCCAGAGCCCAGAGAGATGCGGAGGCCTCTGGTCAAACTAGTGTCACAGTTTCAAGAACCTACTGACACAGCCCACGACGCCAAGGGAGGCCTCGGATACCGAGAAATGAGACATGGGGACCCCAGAATCCAGACTGCCCCACGACACGAGACTAACTCAGCTGAAATCAGCACCGCGCCTGTGCTGACGCTCACCCACACTCAACTCCATGCAGCTGGGTCTGCTCTCCCAGGGGAACAGGGCCGCAGACACAGAAGTGGGGGTCACTTGGAGCGGCTTTGGGCAGGCGGGGGAGTCACACTGCGCTGGTGCTGGAGAGAACCGGGGGCGGAGGCGGCATGAGTGGGCCCAGGCGGAGGACGCCGCGAGGCCAGAGCAGAGTGGGGCGCAGGCAGGCAGGGGCGGCTGAGCAGAGCCTCCATCCACCTGCCCCTGCCGCCCCTCTGCCCTACGGAGCCACTCACGCTGCCCCAGGCCCCAGGGAGGGAGACCCGTGAGCTCCTCTGACAGGCGCGCGTGGGCGCAAGTGGTGGTGGCAACTCGCCTCACAGACGGTGCATCCGTAACCCCGGAGCCCCGCTGGGGAGCCCCGCTGGGGAGACCTGCTCACAGGTGCCCAGAGCCCCAGCCACAGCAGGAGGAGGCTGCTGGCCTCGGGCGCTGGGCCATAGAGGCCGGACACAGGCCACGGTGCTCCCAGGAAGCGGGGATGCCGGCTTGGGGAGCAGTGTGAGTGGGCACCAGCGCCTGTGCACATGGGGGTCCTCAGTTTTTGACATTTGGCTGTGCCCCAAGACAAACCCAGCAAGGGAACCAAAATACCCACAAATACACTGAAATCCTGAGCGTGCCCTCTGCCCTCTGCCCTTCACACCAACACACACGCCCAGGTGCACACGGAGCGCACAGACCTGCTCTCACCTCCCCGTGCAGGCGGGCAAGTCACCTCCTATTTCAGCAGCTCAAAACATTTCAGATCATAAGTTCATTAATCCTTACGACACATCTGGTAACTATTAATAAAAATGACTGCAAAGTATTTTGCAGCTATAAATACTAAGGAGCAGCCCCAAGGGACAAGCAAACCTAAGTATAATCATCTGCATTTCTCACCACTGGAGCCGGGCTCAGAGAGGTACCTAGCGGTGATGCCCCCAGGCTGCCCAGGGGGAGGATGACCAGCCTCCTCACATCGCCCCCCCCCCACGGCCCGCGCGGGCTCCGGGCCCCACGATGACACACGGAGGCAGTCTGGAGGGCCCCAGCTGCAGTCAGCCTCGCCGCCTCGGCAGGGCAGAGACCCACACTCTTGCCTCGCTTGGCCTAGCAGCCCACCCTGAACTCCGAACACACTGCTTTTCCAGAACCTTCCTCACACCTCCTCCCCCTAGAGTCAAGTTCCACCGCGGAATCCGATTTATTTTTGAGTCTCCACTCGGGCACCCTCGCTCCTCCGGAGGTGCAGATAGAAATGCCAGGCCCAGACACACAGCCCAGCACCTCGGACACGCCCCTCACCCTGCCCAGGAGGACCCCGACTGCTCGTCCTTGAAGGGCGGGACCAGGTCTCATTCATCTCTGTCCTTCCTAACACAACATCTTGCTCAGGAATAACAAGTAAGTGAACAAATGGATGACTCACACGTGACGGGAGAGGGGAGTGTGCACTTCCACAGAACTGAGAAAGTCAGACATCCCAATGGGGGTAAGGGGGAGGACAGCAGGTGAGGCTAAAACCCACCCCTTGGCTCGAAAACCTCCCCGACATCTTTTTTTTTTTTTTTTAAAGATTTATTTTTATTTGTTTACACAAGCACTGGGTACATTCAGAAGCGCGGGAGGGTGAGAGAACTCACCAGAGCCAGAGCGGGGAGCAGAGCAGGCAGAAGGACCGAAGGACACTGCTGAGGGGAGCAGGGGGCGCGGCAGGAGAGGTCTGCGCGCCATGTGGGACCCTCGCCGGTGGCCGGAAATCAAACCTGGTCTGCAGAGGCTGCGGGCAGCTTCACAGCCCAGCGCTCAACCGCTGCGCCACCAGGGGAGGCCCCGACATCTTATTTTCTGATGCACTTTTTATTGTTTAAGAATAAACCTTTCTAATAATTGTGTCTTACCATGAATTTGACAAATTCTTCCAATTCGTTTTGTAATGATTCCTAAGTTAACATCATGCTCACACTTTTTGTTTAACCCCGATGATTTAAACTCAAGGATGGAATGTGAGACGAGACATACGATTTACTCTCTGCTACAGACAACCAGTTGCCGACCTTCGCAGTCTCACTGCTGGGGTGAGGGAGCTGAGGGGCCGGGCCTGCGACTGTCCCTTGCTCTTTGATCCGACAACAGTAATAAGCCGTGGGTGTCATCAGACATGTACGATCGCCTCCAGATCAAGACTGCGATAACCTAATCAATAGAAAACTGCTTTTCAAAGGTTATCTTCATCAGAGGTGAGTGGTCAGGCGGGATGAAGGGGCCGGCAGAGCTGAGGAGGACAGGGCCCAGCTCTAGCCACCATCTGCCATCGGGGCGGCCACCCAGCCGGCCCCAGTGCCAAGGGTGCCCATGATTTTGCCTCTGGCTCCCCAGGCTGGTCCGGACAGGGTGTATCTGAGTGATGGTGCCTGACGGCTGTGCTACTTATGTTAATGGATCCACCATCCTCTGTGCAAAACTGGTCACTCTGGGGCCGACCTCTGGAAGGTGGTGGTCCAGCTACCCCAGTTCTCTAAGCTGGGCCTCCAGGGAGGCCCACGCTGCCCACCTCCCAGGCCCCCTACCCCTGGCACTCCACCTGCCGCGTGCCCCTTCGGATCAAGGCATCCAGGCAGCAATGTGTTGAGCCCAGGAAGGTGACTGAGATCCCTCGTGAGGTTTGTGAGCACATTCAAGAGAAACTTCCAGGCTTAGCCTCCTCAGACCTCCCTCCAAACGGCAGTCACAGAAGCTTCTCTGACCAGAATCTCACTGTGGCACCCCGGCTGGCAGGAAGCAGAAACGGGGGGTGGGGTGCTGCTTGTGCCCCGACAGCTGAACCCCACAGCACACCCACAAATATTCCTTCAGGCCACAAATACTCATTTGCTGTTTTTACTCAAATCCTGTGCGATCTCCTCAGATCACAATCAAGCATAAGATGCTGCTTCTCAAACACAAACCCCAGCTCTGCTCTGACCAGGCCAGGTCCTTGGTGCTCAGCGGCCTGCGCCCTCCACACTGCCCTGGGGGTCCCTCCAAGCTGGCTGGTGTCACCGAGGAAGTGAATTGCTTATTTACTGTATTTTTCACTAATAGTAGGAACATTTAAAAATTAAAGTGGGGCCTCCCAGGGTGGAGCGCAGCACTGCGAAGCTGTCCACAGCCTCTGCAGTGCAGGTTTGATTCCTGGCCGGCCAGGGAGATACCCACATGGCGTGGCAGACCTCTCCTGCCGCCCGCTGCTCCCCTCAGCAGTGTCTTCGGTCCATCTGCCTGTTCTGCTCCCTGCTCTGTCTCTGGTGAATTCTCTCACCCTCCAGCACCTCTGACTGTACCCCAGTTCTTGTATAAATAAACAAATCTTTAAAAAAAAAAAAATTAAAGTGCCTTGAAGTAGGTTTGAAACAGCATGGGCATACGGGTCTCCATTTTCAACTGCAAATTTTATGAACTCTAAATGCAGATGAAGTGTTTCCGATGGGACTTTAGCTACTGAATGGAGAAGTGCTAGAAATGTAAGATGCACACCTGACTTCAAGGGCTGCGCAGAGGAAGAAAGCTTGGGGCCACCTCCACCAGCTTTAGAGTAACGACTCCAGGTTGAAAGGACATGACGATGAACAGACTCGGCCAAGTAAGGCCGACGAAGTGACATTAACCTGACCTGCTGCTTCTATCTCAAGGCGGCTACCAGAACTTCTAAACCCGCAGAGGACCCATGGTAGCCGCACCCCATCACAGCAGACCCTGCACAGTGCGCCCGACCTGGCACCCAGGAAGGGCAGGCGCGTGTCTGGGGCTGGCAGGCCATGGCCACCCTGCCGCGGAAGCCTATCTGTTGTCTTATAAAGCGCTCCCCGTCGGCTCAGCACCTTTTAAAACAATGAACAATTTTATCTAAAGATCGAAAGTTTCTACTTGTGTTTATCAGGCCCAAAGCCGTTCAGGATACAACGTTAATTCCATTTCCTACCAAGTAAGAAAACGTCTATTAATTTGCTTGCTCAAATTAATAGATGCCTGGAGATGTGGGGCGGGTACGTGCGTCAGAGACAGACACTCAGGGCCAAACATCGGATCTCCCGATTTAATTTTAATGACACAAAACCACTAAAAAGCCCATTTCTTATCAAGTAAATGACTTGATCGGTGGATAAAAGCGAACAAGACCATCTAAACAGTCTCCCATTTCATTATTTAGTCTAATTTATGACTACAGGTGGAGAATTTTAAATATTAATATTTTCTGGAATTGTCAAGAAAAGATTCAGTCTCTGACTTTTAGAATTTAGCTAATTTTAAAGTATCCACATGAAAATTGTTAAAACTTACTTCAATATTTATGTGAAGAAAACAATTTATACTTTTAAAAAGAGGATGTCACGGGCCTCCCCGGTGGCGCAGCGGTTGAGCGCTGGGTTGCGAAGCTGCCCGCGGCCTCTGCGGCGCCGGTTCGATCCCCGGCTGCTCCCCGGCCACCAGAGGAGGGTCCCACATGGCGTGCAGACCTCTCCTGCCGCCCGCTGCTCCC